AAATTCAGTTTCCACTCTGTCGTACACACACATGCGTTTTTATACAGGTCATACAGTACACACTTTTTAGAACATGCACATACAAATACACACACAGTTAAGCAGTTGCAGGGCTCAACGCTAACTTTTAAAAGTGGTTGCCAGGCATCAGCTTTTGGTTGCCAAAACTGAAAATACGGTTGCCCTNCAGGTCGCCCTTTTTATTTACTACAGTTCAATTTGTATTGAGACAGGGAAATAAACTAAACCTCACGCTTGGCGTTTCACTGTCAAGGGGAGCGTGTATGTAATTACATTGCAAATACTGACTTGAGCCCCACCACTGTATGGGTTAGCCCTACTACCCAACAAAAATACTCCGCAAATGCCGAACCGTATTGCGCATGCGCAGATCTAAGATCCAGTAGAAATGATAAAAAAAAAAAAGTCTGCTGCTTATTGTTCTACTAGGCCAAAATATTGTCAAAGAGTATATGAGAGTGATAGTGTGTTAATTAATATATTTGGCAGTTTGGAGTAAGTCTGTAGATTTGTCTGTGTGTGTGTGAGTGTGAGTGTGAGTGTGAGTGTGTGTGTGTGTGTGTGTGTGTGTGTGTGTGTGTGTGTGTGTGTGTCATGTATAGGCCTCTCACGATAAGAAATTTAGTTGGATACATTTTCCCGGAAATTATTGCGATAAACGATAATATTGTTGGCACCGTTGTATGACCATTTTAGACCACTGACATAATGATAATATATAATAATAATTCAAGTACATCCTTTCAAACTGCTACTGTAGTCACATCCTCATGTAAATGGCAATTTATCGAGTTCATTTTTATTTATCGTATGATAAGTCAATTAATTGCTTATGGCACACAATAAAAGGCACACAATAAAACAGTGGAAACAAATATGTGTTTGACTTTTATTAGTGAATGAAACTGTGTGCCCTTTATTGTCTGTGTCCAATATTGTGTATTTGTATATGCTAAGGTCCCGCTGCTGACACGATAGCAGTCATTTTGTGCGCGTATGTGTATTTAAACCCATGATATCAAAATCTCACTCCAGCCGGGTACCCAAAGTTGGCAACCCTGTAAATGTATTTTAAGTAACAAAAGTAAAAGTACTGTTTGTAATGTCCCATTTCAGAATGATTACAAATATGTCAAAAAAAAGTACTTCGTATAATACTTGAGTAAATGTAGGCTCCGTTCCACCACTGGATATTTGCCTCTGAAAATGTAGTAGAGAGTACAAGTAGCCTATAAGCATAGATACAATTAAAATACTCAAGTGAAGTAGCCTACTATTATGTCAACAATAGTACTTAAATACAATACTTGAGTAAATGTAAACTTCTTAGTTAGTTTCCACCACTGGACATTTTCCTCTGAAATGTAGTGAAGAAGAAATATAAAGTTGCATTCAATGGAACTCAAGTAAAGTACAATGTGTCTTAAAAAATAAATTTTAAATACAATACTTGAGTGAATGTAGGCTACTTAGTTACTTTACACCAATTGATATTTTCCTCTAAAATGTAGTGGAGAAGAAGTATAGCAAGCATAGAAGCTTAAAATAAAAATACTCAAGTCAAGTACTATTAGGCCTATGTCAAAATCGAACTTAATAGGCCTATGGTGATTGAGTTACCACAGTTTATACATCCATGGTTACCACAGATTGTGTGGGGGCGGGGCGTCGCCATGCAACCGTCAACTAACTATAAACGCAGTAGCTTTAAGTGGAGGAAAAAAGGCATATCGAAAACGCCAAAAAATACAATGTTACCATGATTCAGTTTATCTTTTGCTTTTATAAGAAAGCTGGTTATGCCTGGTTCTGATTCTTATAAATAAAATAAACTTAGAAAAAACGTTATTCCGCCAAAAAGAACAGGAGTGAAGGCAGGATGTCAACACCGGAGGAGGAAGAGGCGAACATCGGTAAAGTGCTCACTTTTCTCCGGGAGTGGGACCGGGGTGACAGCAGGGTCCGCGGCCGCATGTTGACCGCCTTCCTGAGCCGGAACCCCGGGAGGAGGCTCTGTGATCTGGAGCTGCAGCTCGCTCAGGTCTCCAGCCTCTTCCTGGCCCGGATCACCACCTGGACCAGACTCACGTATCCTCTCTCTGTGTATTTATTATATGTTCAGGCTGCATGTGGACGCCTGCATGAGCCAACACAAACTATATCAAACATATTGTTTACCATTTATCAATCAATCAATCAATCAATCAATCAATCAACCAATCAATCAATCAATCAATCAATCAATCTTGTGTACAAACTGTAACGCCCCCTGAGACTAATGACACATTTGTTTTATTGGGCTAAATAAACATTGATTGATTCAAGGCTATAAATTTGATGCACTGATGCTGTTAGCTTTATGTGCAGTCAAGGCTAAATAATGTTTTTGTTTAATGCTGAGCTGAACCAATTGTTCATCTTACAGACAGACAAATTATCAAAAACTATTTAGTTTGTGATCTATTAGTAATTTCATGGAAAACTTGTGTTTTCAGCTTCTCAAATATGGAGATTTCCTGCTTTTTTAAATCATGATAAATTGAATATCTTGTTGGTCCTGGACTGATATAACAAAAACATTTCAGAGACATCACCTTGGACTTTGAGAAACTGAGACATTTTTCACAATTTTATAAAAATGTTGTAAGAAATGTACGAAATTCAGGCCAAACTATTAATCAATGAATCAAGGTAATAATCTGCAGATTAATCAATAATGAAAATAATTGCCTAATACACACACATTTTTTTGTCTGTAGCTTTTTCTTAAATATGTCTTTACTACACACAGTAAAAGCACACATTTAACTATATTGTGGCTTAAATCAAATAATGCATAAGTCATTCAAATGATATATAGTGTTTCTATAGGGATCATGCTGGTTTCTGTTAAGGATACATTATTTACTAAACATAGTCCTTCACTCAATACTCAGATACATGTTTGGGACATTCTTGGGACTGCAGCTTAAAGCAATTGGGATTTTCCTCTCTTCATCAAACCAGTGAGTCAATATGAAACGCTGTATCAATTCACAAACTACTGTTTCTGTGACTCAGTCTGAAGTATTAATTTGATCAACTTTCCCTCAGTGATCAGTACCTAATGGAGTTTCTGGAGGATGGAGGAGTCCTCACTCTTCTGGACATCTTGAGCCACTCTCAGAGAAAAGAGGAGCAGAAGGTCGAGGCCCTCCGCCTTCTGCTCACTATCTCAGATGCTGGTCGCAAATACAAAGAGGTTATCTGTGAAAGCCATGGTAACTTTTATAAAGAATCACTGGAATACAAACACACTTCTTTCTACACTACACTATAATCAGTGCATTAGATAAATCAGTGCATTAGATATAGCTTTTTCACACCTGCCATTCAGATACTCTAAAAACTATTTAAAAGACAATTATTTGTCAATGGTTAATCCATTTTGAAAAAAGTATTTTATTTTGCAACGCAGGTTATCACAACAAAATGCAGTTGTAGTTTATTATGCTAGACATACAAAATGACAGAAGAGAACAAAAACAGTAGTACTATTGCATTCCTGAAGTATACTAGTTTACTTTGCATTTTGAGGTTTGTAACTAACCAAAGCAATGGTTAACAGTTCTCTAGGAGGTTTACTGAATGTGACATTTACAACAAAAACAAAAATCAATATCCACCAAATTTTGTCTATTAAATATCATCTGGATAACTTGATCACTGACATGGCGCTTACAGCGTTGACCTCCATTTTTTTTTCAATCTTGCAGGTGTGAAAGCCATAGCAGAGTTCCTGGCTCAGTCAAACACAGATGAACCTCTAGAGGCAGCCTGGGCCCTCCTGGAGTCTCTGTCGCGTGGAAACCCCAGATACCAAAACCAAGTCTATAAAGCCATGATTGCTCTCATGACGTGTTCCTCCCCGAAGGCCCAGCAGCGGGTCCTGCACTCCTTACACACTGTGCAGGTAAAGTATGAGTGCACACTAAGACATTTATTAGCATTGTTCTCAGAGCATGTGCCCTCTTACTAGTTTGCTCACTCACTTTGGCCAAATGTAAACTCTTTTTTTATGGGATCTATTCTTCTCACAGTCCAAAATGAAGACAGCCCACCACAGCATAGTAGAACCTCTGCTGGGTTTGCTCAGTTCTCTGCACCTGGAGGTTCAGGATGAAGGTAAGAATACAGACTTTTACTGTGGTTGATAATTTTTTTGTTTTGTATGCCAAATCTTGCTTTGAAATTACAAATGTATTTGGTATTCCCTGTGTGCTGGGGCTCAAAATTGTCGGTGTCATAAATGATCACCTTTATTGATTTCCTTGTTGGTCTTGCAGCTATAAATCTGATTTTGGGTCTGAGGTGTTATGAAGTGAGGCCGCTGCTGCTCGACGGACTGTTGGCTCTGCTGAGGCCAACTAAAGAAAATGTGCAGCACCAGAATATGCAAGGTGACACTTTAATCTTTAAGTGTGTTTGTTTTACTATAAAAGGGACCTATCATGCAAAATGCACTTTTTAATGTCTTTTATACATAAATATGTCCCCGGTGTGTCAGGGGACTCACGCAGCGTCAGAAAATAAAACCCTCTCTCTTTTCCTCCGTACCCAAATCTTTTAAAAACGGGGGTACAACGAGCGGATACAGATTTTCTGCCGATATGACGTCAAATCGGCGGCGGACCCACAGAAAGTTGCTATCAGAAACAATGCCTGACGTGTTTGTGGCGTGTAATATGGTCTGTGTTTACATTAGCAAGCCTCGCTAACACTCAGAGCTAACCTGTACTGATGAGCACATGTGTTTTTAAAAAGCAGGAAATAAAAAAAGAACTCACCTTGTGATAAACCTGCAAGAAAAAANCTATATATGTGTTATATGTAAAATGATATTTGCCTTTGAAATGTTTGAAGTGTTTTAAAAAGTTGCCACAATTACCTCATTATATAGTTATTTATGCTGAGCTAAAATATAGTATTGTTAGATTACATATCTGTAGCCTTGCAGTTAGGTATTATGGCGGGGATTTGAATACTCTGATGTGTTGCTTGCTAAAAGTGGTTTTTAATAATATATCTATAGGAATTCAGTCTTAGGCATATTTATAGGCCAGCAAAAATGGTTTTCCCGGACCTACAGATAAGGCTGATTATATCCAATCCAACAGATAGCTCCCTTCGCCAGGTTCATGGTTCTGGTCTGGGTATCTGTATGGCCAGACTTTTATCTGGCTTACTTGTGTTCTTGTTTTGTCTGCACGATCGGTGTGTGTGTTTTGTTCAACAAAAAGAAACCCTAATTGTAATTCGCTACCTTTGTTCAATATAACACAACTTAATGGGGGTCCAACCCCTCTTTGCGATGCCGAGCCCCTATATATTTCTATCCTGCCCAAATGGAGTCAGGGCACAAAACTGAGGATTAAAAACAAAAGCGATATTAATCCCTCTGCAGCAACGGCTGTCACTCAAAGGATTATGCGTGGCAAGGCGAAAAAAATAACACACTAAGTACTACGCGGTATGAAATTAAAAGGCTCTGTTTTTTGGCCATCTTGGCGTGTCTCCAATCGTTGCAAACGCATTGATTGTATTACTAGTGGCGATAGGATGTTCAGTGACAGTAATCTGACTTCACATTCTCCTGATTATAAAATTGATTGAGCCTACGCGCGACCTTGGGAGACAAGAAGTGTGAAAGCCTACGAGGTTGCGGGTATTATATTCTCTCTGTGAGTTAAAAAGAGTTCTTTTGGAGTTGACTCTGTGATATTTTTGTGATGTGTCTGTTGTGTTTACTGACGAGGGGCTCAAACGCAGCCATGTAGGGGGGGGACGTCTATCTAATTTCTTATAGTTCAACAACAAATAAAATTCATTTTTCCTTTTGTTGTCTTCTGACGTTAACCATCCAGGAGTATAATCCAAGGCGAGTTTAGGAGGTGAAAGACCCACAAACTAGGGTATTAATCTCCTTCAAAATCCACAGTGGTTGTATATTCTCTCTGATCTGCTTAGGGATGAAGGCTGAAGGTTTGCACCTAAAACAGCCAATATATATGAGGGGTTTGTTAATCCCTTCTGGTCTCTCTCCTCTCTAAAATTATACACGGTCACAGCAGATGCGATTTGTTAGGTTTTGTTTTTGTGGACGAAGGAAATGGGCGATGTGGCAGTTCAGCCCACCTGGCGTACAGATAGAAGCCCTCCGGGAGGCGCATTCTGATTTCATCCTCTCTCGTGGCTACTCCATCTCTGGTTGTGCGCTTTTTATATGGTTGTGTTTGTGTCTGTTTGTCCCCTCTTTCCTTGTGCTCCCAGTCTTCTGTTGTTTTACCGAGGGAGAGGGGTTGTGTTGGCGGTGTGTGTAGGTATTGTGTTTTGTCCCGTTAGTAGTGCCAGTAGACAAACAAACCAGGCCAGACTGCCAACCCGGAAACGGTGGGTTTAAATGTACTTCTCTTGTTAATAGTGTGTTGTGCTTGATAGATAGATAGATAGACTAGTAAAGATAGATGTATTAGAATTAGAATAAGTTGTGTTGTAGGATTAGATTGGTGGTAGTGTTGTGTTATGTGATGGGATATTAATAGATAGATGTGATTGGGATGGATTAGATTGATGAATAGATAGAATTAGTTAGATGGTGGATGGATAGATGATGGATGGATAGATAGATAGATAGATGGATAGCATGGTATGGTCAATGGATTAGATAGATTAGATATATAGCATGGATAGATTAGATAGGTGGATTGGATAGATAGATGGATGATTAATTCTGCATATTGTCTAAGCGCCAATTGTGTTCAAGCAATTAAAATAATATAATCATATTATTATTATTGTTAATACAATAATAATTAATTAATAAATACATTTATTTATTTCCAAGACTCTTTATCAAGGTGCATCAAAGAGACTCAAATAAAAACAAGAAAGATACACAAGTTTAATAAAATATTAAAACAAACATTTAGCACAACGATTTAAAAGGTGGAGATAAAAGTATGAACATTAATACAAATAAAATAAACATAACAGCAAATATATACATACAGTTTAAAACGACATATATCACAAATAATACACAACATCAAATATTCTGGATAAACCAATAATACTACAGCAGCAGAATAAGGACACATAGGATAGGTATATAAATTGAAATACAATTGCGAGGGGAGAGAAAGACATTCATGCACATGCTTTACTGTTGAATGAAAAAGGTGCTGTATGCACGGTTTTATTCAGGAGTACCGCCTAGCCACACTGTGTTGTTACAGATATGACCTCCAGGGGGTCATTACGACGTGAGACTGAGCAGCTAAAATAATCAATATTTTTCACCAAGCGTACAATTTATTTTTTATGTATTCCTGTCACAACCTTTTTTTATTAGATTGTTCTTAAATAAGAACAGTTTATACAACACGATACAAGGCCCAAGTGCAAGCAAAGGAAAACGAAGAATAGGGACAAAAAGCAGTACCCAGACAAGGCAAAAGACACACACAATATAAAGAATAAGACCATATTATGATGTGTGTACAAATCATATAAATTGAGTAAGTACACAAATAACTAAACAAAAATATAATGGATAAAATGATAAAAAAAAATAAGCATTATATTTAGAATTATTATTTATTATTAATGTAAATTGAAATCTGTAAAGTAACAACATCGGTCAAAAAATATACTAATATGAGAGCAGTGAGGTAATGAAAAACATAATATAGAAAACAATAGTACTGCAAATAGGTTCTCAAAGTTTACAACTACCTGAGAAAATGTACTTTTGTTTGCTGTTGTAAAACTTCCTATTACAATCCAAATCTCTTCACAATACAATTGAACAAAAACACCAAACTTTTTGTTATTAAAAGAACCAACCAGAAAGGGACATTTACCTTACACCATAGAATGAAACGCAATACAAATAGAAAACGCATTGAGTCAACCATCGTATAACCTCAAACAAAGCCTGTTGTCCTCGACAGAGATTCTGAAAAACAAACCATTTATTAGTTTGGTGTTTCTATTTATTGACATGTCAATACAATATATTTTTTTATAATAATAATAAATTATAAGCAAAGTGCATGTGAACATTACTTAAAATTTATAGTTCCCCCTTTGAGAACTTGCATGACGGTCCATTGCTGTTTATGCTTGCATTGATTTTGTTGCTTACATTGCTTCAAAAAGTTGTATTATTATTCTTTTGCAATGCAGCTATTTATGTATTTCATTCATTACCTTATTCATAGTATTCATTTCTTGTTTCGTCCCAGTTGTTTCAGTCCTAGTTTCCATTCCACCATACACACTTGAAGCCCATCAGATTGATACATTGTCTCTACAGACGGCCTTTGCCTTTTATGTTTTATTTTCGATGAAGAAGGTATCCACCACTATTACTATTGCTTTGTATACCCGAACACTTCTAACCAAGAGTCTGTCACTGCCCTTTTTCACTTTGCCCTGGAGAGGGCAGAACATTTACCACAAAATCACTCGGTAAAAAATTCATTTATTTTCTGGAAGCATTTGGCCATCAACCGTATGGTCTTTTCTCTGGGGAAGATGTCATCTTTAGTGAACCTGAACTTGGACAGTGACCTGAGGCAAGGGACAGGAGGAGGCAGCTCTCTCTGTATCTTTGTCAGAGACAAGTATTTTTATCCAGTAAGCTGAACTTGCTCAAAGCGTGATAGGAGTGAACTGTCAGTCAGACTTGAGAAATAGTTGAGTTGATCCTGATGGTGGTCTGTCTGATGTGTCCTGCGAGTAAGCCCGCGTTTCTCTCTGCTATTGACTCTGATAGACTGATCTCCCTTGCTGAGGTTTTCTTTTCTTGAGGCTTCACTCTGTGCCCGAACTACGAAGGCTCCGCTCCAAACTCAAGACCTGGACGCCTGTTGAAGACCCTTGTGCTGACAATGTCACCTTTATACTGATATAGCTCGTAGAATAAGAAGATGGACTTTTATTAATCCCCAGAGGGGGAAATTCAGTTTCCACTCTGTCGTACACACACATGCGATTTTTTACAGGTAATACAGTACACACAGTACACACTTTTTACAACATGCACATACATATACAAATACACACACAGCTATATGCACACATGCACATGCAGTTGAGAGGTCAGAGGGGAGGCAGCCAGTCTAGCCGGCGCCAGTGAGCAGTTGGGGGTTAGGTGCCTTGCTCAAGGGCACTTCAGCAGTGGCCCAGGAGGTGAACTGGCTCCTCTCCAGTACAACTCAACACTCCATATTGGTTGGTCCGATCGGGACGTGAACCGACAACCCTTCGGTCCAAAGTCCAATCCCCTACAGACTGAACCACTGCCACCCCAAATAAGCTTGAAAGGTATTGTATCTTTACAGTGTGTGTGTGTGTGTGTGTGTGTGTGTGTGTGTGTGTGTGTGTGTGTGTGTGT